TCGGACGAGCTATACAATGTGTCTCATTGCGTGTGTGTGGGTCCTGGTGCGAATAACAGACCATGGTAAGCAAAAATTCATTCGCTTGTAAGCATAAGTGAACAAGAAAACCCTAGCAACAGCAAAAGTAGCTTACCTTCTTCAGCCTCTAGGAGTAGGAAACTAATTAAGTGATCGCGTCAGCAAAAAAGAATAACAGAGGAAAAATGATTAGGAGAAAAACATCGCCTCATCACTCGGCGATTAGCTGATTGTACGTGGGTCCTAGAACGAATAATAGCAATCTGTACTGTCTCGACACTCGTCTAACGTGACATCGATCGAGGGGCGTTGAAGCCAATTACGGAGCAACAGGGCTTCCTCTATGCCCTCAGCGCCGAGATTGTAGGAGCGAGAGGGTCCCTTCTTCTGGGAGGCGTTGAGTATTCCTAAAGGAAGAACTCGGTAACCCTTTTTATCGTGAACCGTGCCTTTAAGCTGTAGAAAGCTCAGAATTTCATTCCTTATCACTTCCTTCTCGGAAATCTTTTTCCAAAAGAAAAAGTGCCTTCTTTTGGTGACATTAAAATTTTGAAAGGCCCAGTTCACGTTGAAAATAGTTTCTGAGATTTTTCCCGGAAACGAACCTATGTTCTCTATAGATTGCTCAAGAGACGCTGTCGGGTCGAAAATTGGCCAGGATAGAGCACAATAAGGGCCCCCAAAAGCGGTTAGCCGACGTACACGGCCAAAGCGGATGAGTTGTCAAGCGTTGTGCGAGTTGTAGAGGTGGCACCATTCGCACCGGGACCAACACACGTTGCATGCAGACAGTTCTATGCAATGGCGCGTGTGTTCGAACAGCTCGTCCAAATAAACTTCCATGCAGCTTTTGCGTACATTGCCGTCCAACCCCTAAACTTGCTTCTTTTTTGGAGCCTTATATTCTCCGAACACGCTGATTCTCGGGTTTTCTTCGCCTTTCCTGCACTATTCTGGACCATTACTTCCATAATTCGTCTCTAACTAAACACCTCGAAATTATCGCTAACGAGCCTCAAAGTTTGCTCTCATTCGTTCACATTTAGACCAGCGATGGATCATCTCGCGAAATTTCCATCACTTTCCGCGAAGGAACTTGTGGACTGACAAAGACCCCATCGAAGGTAATCACATTTATATGAGAAGTGCTTTTGGAACAATCTGTAACGGAAACGTAATTTAGTTTATTCTTTCTTTCACTTTATTGACAACCGTGGTTTTTTAAGAACGGTGATGGATACAACTTCAATATCACGGTTATCCTTCAGTTCCACCCTGTTATCATTACAAGAGCTGATCAGGTTCGTTTCCCATCGTACCAAATTAATGAATAATTCAAAACCAAACTGGAAGCAGAGACGGAGGAAACTTTTACGTTTCCACTACTTTTTCAACAAAAAATCCGAAGGTTCCTCGAACGACTAAGGCTGAAGGGCCAAGGTTGAATTTTTGTCCCTGATCAATCTTTTGGGATACACCCGCAATCGAACTACATTCAACTCGTTGTGTCGTGGGAATAAGTATGTGACTTATACAACGGGTTCTGATTCCTATATTCACAACTACACGAATTTCTTTAGAACTAGCTTTATTGAATGCGATATTTAGCACACCTCCTATACACTGTCCTCTATCGCTTAACTGGTTTATACATACCATTCCACAGAATTATTCTGTGTTCGACGCAAAGAATGACTGAACATCCATTTCGATGTGCTCGCGAGCATCGCCGCTCATAAACCCTGGGAGTTGACCAAGCTACGAATAAAGTCGTAGTCGGTTGCTGCGAGATAAGGAGAACATTGTTGGTGAGGAAAAACTACGACAAGTTCGTGAACTGTCCTCTGGATTTCCTTTGCGGCATGTGGGCGTGCATTGACCTAAGCTAGGAAAACTTCAGCAATAGGCTGCAGTTTTCCGAATGCCGCAGCAACTCTACGTAGCTGCAAACAGAAGCTGTGAGCATCAATGGTTGTACTGTCATCAGGAAGACCATAGTGATGCAAGTCAATGACCCTCCATTGACTTCTTGTGGAATGCATACATCCAACTTGTACGATTTCTCCAGCTTAGGGAAAAAGACTCATGGCTCTCTGGGAGCACTGCATGTTTGCAGCATGTTGGCTATGACTTGGCTTTGCCTGCTGGGTGTTCTAGACGGAACTAGTCAAGAAAGAGCTGACGAACATGACTTGAACTGAAGAGCCTTACTACTCCAAAGAGACGAGTTGGGGCATTCGAATTGTGCTGCATAAAATTATGCTGATGTCCCTCCACAACACATTGGCGGGAACAAAAAAAACATGTTCAAAAAGAATTTAGCGTTGTTTTGAAGAAAGCGGACTTCACTTATTACTCAACTTAAGACTACAGTACTATAATAGTAACGTCAATCAAGCGGTCTTGCAGGGATTGAAACCTAGACTGGCAGTGTGGGTCGGTTTTTATAACCATGTTCCCACGTAAAGCGGCAGCGGCTTGAGAGGCGGCGGCAGTTTACGTAACCTTTAAACTAATAAAAAATTTAAAAAATTCAAATCTTTTCCAGAGGTCTCGATTGGGTGCGGCGAGCAGCCGTTCGGGTACGAAACCCGTCCCATCCCTTCTCACCCCCTCTCCCCCACCCCTTCCCCCGGATGGAGCCTAGATCAGCCGCTTCGTGGCTTCTATAGCAGCATTATGATCCTGCCGCCTGGCGCCTGTACCCCTACCAAAATTGAACGCCCCAGGTGCATCTTACTAATTTTTGCGCACATTGCCGCCTGTAATCCTACCAACTTCGTATGTTCCAGGTCCGCGGGAGCAGGGTTCATGAATTCACTATCAAAAAAAAAACACATCAACACATACACACAGACATGCTGACCCTTGCACACACTGACAAATCATCAGACCCACTTAGCGCGCTATACATAGCTATCTCTATTTACCTTGAGACGACATTGTACGAAGAATGCTTTCTGCTTAAGGGACCTCAGGAAAAGGAACGTGTCCGTTAAAGGACCGAAATGAGATGCAACGAAAAGCTGAAAAGATGCCTAAAAACGTGAGGCTTGGAAGGCTTGAATTCGTTTATGACTGCCTCCATCGCCATGGCGGTGTTGCACAAAATGTGTCAACACGGCATGAAGTCCTGTGGTGAAAATAACGAAATGGCGCAATTCATAAATAATTATATACTACTTACGTTATTACTTATTTATTTAACTCAAGATAAGTTTACAGCGAAATTAAATCAGTTGTTCGCGATGAAGTAGTTTTTAAGGGGCTCGAAGTGAACTGCTTCTATCAGCAGCCCCTTTCTCCGCAAGAGATCTCACGTGTCTCTAAGAGTGTTGCTGATACGGAATGTACATATCGTATTCATAGGTAAGGCCTATTAACCCTATCATTCCGGGACTACGAAATACTCCACTCCCCCTTCAGGTACTCTCCCACTCAGTGTGTTGCTCTAGACGCCAAGGTCGGCGAAACGTTGTTCCACAAATGGCAGTGCGATAGCCGTAAGCTTTCTCCTGCTTCTATCCTTTATTGTTTCATAACGTTTCTGACTTGAACGTCTCTATTCAAACAATGTTTTATACTTGCAGCTCCCCACTTCACCTACCTGGTCCACGACTGTTACGTAAAGTCCGAAAAGAGCTCAGTACAGATTCTTGATAGTGAAGGGTAAGTGACAATTATGATTCGTTATAGAAGCGCGATTGGTTGGAAAGGCAAGAAGATTCCCCATTACAGATGTGAGATTGATCATTACTTCCTGGAGACGCCTGACTACTCACGTCTAGGCCTTCCGAATGAGGAGAATTATGTCTTCCAGGTCAGAGCCCTTGAATTTTTCGATGTAACCAATCAAATCGAAAAAGCTTTAGGAAATGTCGGTTTTCAAGTTCCCAGGCGAAGGAGATGTGTACTTCCAGTGCAAGATTTCACTGTGTGATAGGGGGGCCGGAACACCCCAGTGCATTAATCAAGTGGTGAGTACCGAGTGCTTTGTTACCTTCATACACTCCTACTTTGCTCTTATCAGCTACTCGATTCAGAGTCTGATCGGGGACTTAACATTAACAAAACTTTACTTAACGGTCATCACCCTTCTCTATTTCAACGATTAAGTATGTGTTTCAGCCGCCTCGCTGTTCGAAGAAGAGAGCGGTAATCGCCTTCCGGGAGAAACGCTCTGCAGATCAAAGCGATCCACGAATAGCAGCACCAGTAGCAAGCGTTGACCGAACAACCAACAATCCGACAATGGTCAGGTCTCGTCGCAATATCGTCCAGACAAAGCCCGGCTTCTATATGACGCTCGAAGTGGAAACAAGGTTTGTGCAAACCTCAGTGGTGTTTCATGCTCTATAGGATCATCTGGATGAATGAAATGGAATGAATGGACCCTGCACGTGAGAGTTAAGGAGCACATAGATGGAATGGAGCGATTGAAATAGTCCACTGCCTTGGGGAGTCACCGAATTCAAAAGCACAACGGGGGCGTTTTTGAAGTCACCGGTGGAGGTCGTGGCACAGGAACCTCAATTATGCGCGCGTAAAATCCTCGAGGCATTTTGGATACAAGTCACCGATCCAAAAACTAGTCGTAGGAAAGAGTGCCTCGCAATCACGCGGGAGCTGCAACCTTACATAAAGTTGTCCTTCCCGCAGAGACTTTGAATGAAGACCTGCCCCAGCTTAGACTCGTCGATTGTCATCATCGATTGGTGGTTGGTTTCGAAGAATCCACAAAGCTACGGTGGGTGGTTCTCCTTTAATCACTTGCGTGCCCTGGAGGTCTCGGACTTCAGTGTGGCAGTGGAGACTTTTGATCGGATAGTCATAAATTGTTGTGATCTCTCTAGGCTCTGTAGAGGGCGACCCGCCAAAACGTTAGCCTAATAAAGCTTGAATACAAACCTTGTGAAGAGTTGAAGAAAAGAACTCAGTAACAAAACAATTATTATTACTGTTATTACTTCCTTATCAGTCTTTGTCAAATCCTATTCCCACGAGCACTCGAGGAGAATGGGGAATCACTCGGAATTTTATAGAAGAACATTTTTTGGCATGGTGATCTTTTAGAGTGGATTTTCGATCAATACAGAGTTTAAACTCAGAAATATTCAACCTTGCATGCTGTTTCTGGAAGCCCATGTGTATAGGAAATTATCACAGCTCGTGAAGAGTGTCTTCTCCTCTCGCTTTATGAGGAACAAGCAGTTGTTGGGAGAAGTAGCTGCAAATGACGATGCCCTACATGCAAGACTAATGTTATGGTTACCGTGTTCGCCACTTCCTGTCTTCTATGTGTGGGTCGATGCAAAGGTTGAGAAATACGGATGCGCACTCACAGTTCCCCCCAATTTTATTCAAACTCTCTCTGCTGTGACTATACAATCACCATTACACTAGATTCGTTCAACGAAGAGGCTCTTGCCTTTTTCTTAGAGAAGATCGACTGTGGGTCGAGGAAAAAAGCCACAGCATTCTTGAAACTGGCGAATTTTTTCATGGTTAGAACGTGCTCGAGGTGCCTACAAAAGTGGTGATCATACGGAACCAGTTCAGGGGAGTACGGAGGCTGGGTATAGGAAAAAGCTGTTCTCGGTCATCTTGCTCTGAGCGGGTTCCTAGAACTGACTGCTGTGGTTGGCTAACCGTGGTTGGCGCAGGACAACGGAAGCCCCTTCTGGTGTTGCTCTGGCTGAGGTTGCACGAGTGTATCCTCTCATTTCAAAAGATAGAATTCGACCGTTTCGTTTTTGTCACAGATTCTAGAAGAACTCCCTGTGATTGGAAATGAGTGGGAGCGACTGACTGACCGAAACAGGCCTGTGACGGGGATTGTCGGTCAGTTGCTGCTCGCAGCCACTTCTTCACTTCCCTGAAAAGACGGACGTCATCGATAGCGAATGGTTGTCCGGACGGACATCGTCGTAGAACTTTCTTCCTCCGAAGTGAAAGCGAGCAGATAAATGACTGACGGTCGCATAGGTGACGAGGTCTTCCCAAACGCAGTGCTCGTGAAGTGCTCGGAACGAGCACCGGAACAGCGACATCCGCCGTAAAATCTCGAAGTTAATCCCTCGATAACTGCCACGTAGTTTACAAAAGAATCGCTCGACGAACAATGTTAACCATAGCGATGGAAACTCAGAGATTATTCTAAGATGTGATAATTTTCGGAGGGCGGCAGAAGCTACTGCAGAAATGACTTCACCTGAGAACTTGCGTCTCACAATGAGACTCGCCATAATGATTCACGCTTTTTTCAAAGCACATATGGCTGAACTAATTATCAGAACTATTCTATAACAGATTCCCATTACAGGACCTTGAACGTGCTTCTTGGAGAGAATATTCGTCCTGACAATTCCGTCAAGTACTGCGACATATCATAAAACTGTGATGTTACTCAGCTCATCAGAATACGTACCAGAGACCGACTCCATATTTAAATGTGAATGTTTTTTTGAAAAATTGTTTGCTATGCTAAATCTCATGCTTTGCATTATAATCTTTATGACTAGATGTATATCATTGTAGCTGAATCTATTTCCATTAACGGGTATGATTTCGTTTCCTTCCAAACTACCTAATTACCTCGTACAGATCTCGGATAGTACTGATTGAAATTTTTTAGAAAACAAAGAGTAACGAGGTGCTATAAGTCGGATAAAGATTCAAATCAGATATTAGTTTATTTACAAATATCAACATCTCCAGTATATGCTCTCAACTGTTATATGATATTGCATGTAAAAACATCCACCAATTTCGTCACAATCACAGCACACATGAAAGGTCGACCGTGGTTGACTGGCACCACTTACTATTGCTATGGTTGTCCTCAACATGTCCCTATATTTGACGAAAAGTAGCAGAGTAAGTACAAGAACAGAATAGCACTACTGTCTGCATGTAGAATTAATTGTATGTATGTTTTGTAGGGCTCAAGACGTTCATCGTCACTTGCAGAACATCAGTTACGTCGCTAAGTTCGGAATGAGTGGAGTAATAATAGGTTTCGACTGTTAATATACAGTACCATAACTCTCAAGTACGAACTCCACTCGGGTTTAGAGCATGCGCCCGAGAAAACCGCGCCCCCGCTCCACTCGTCTTGGTCCTACCGCGAAAGGCAGAAATTGCCAGAAGCGCGGGAAAACAAGTCATATGCTTGTCGTCTCGCTACGTATCGACTTCATTTGGTCTTCCGTATGTGGTCGTCAGATCTGGGTGGTGGATCGTCGCATGATCCTTCACTTCGTCCCGTGGGCTTTTCCCGTAACCGTCAATCATCGTACCTCATCTAATCTCCTCTTCTCACCTCTCATCTCATATCCAGGTTAGTCATGGTGTAGTTTGTTTTACTTATACATGTACATATTCGGTGTAATGTTATCGCATAATAATAATGACATAGAGGTAGCGTCTTATTATTTCTGTGTGGTCAAGCGAGATTAACCCCGAGAATACTTTGGACAATTTTTAGTTGGGAGTTCAGTTCGGCGTTAGGGGACTATGCCCTTTTCCAGCAGTCCGCAGCAGGACTGTCCAGCATTCCTCGGCACGGCGCGTCCTCTTATTGTTAGGGGTGGGTGGGCACCAAAATACCCACGTTCTGGCGTGGCTGGGGTGCGGAAACGCCGATGCAGACAGCAGAGGGCCCCTCGTCACGAGAAAGCCCCATTTGGTTCTACACACTTCTGCCAATGTGATACAAGTTTGTTTGAACCATTCTTAAAAAAATCCATGAGCTGGAATCCAAGAATGCGAGAAAGGCAGCTTCTAGGTCGCCTTGATTTTTGAATTCTCGATCCTACAGGAGGTTGTACAGATGTTTGAATAAATGGAAGTGGAGGTGACAGGTCTGGAGAGTACGGTGGATGAGAGGGGGATCAGCTCCGCAGCCCGTTCAACTTCTGGAAGACGATTTGCGACACATGCGGTCACGCATTGTCGTACAAAACCAATGGACCATGGCGATCCACTAGTGCTGCCTGCATTGCTAACTTTCTTCAGCTTTCCAAGTTGCTTGAGGTGGACAGTGACCACTGTATGGGAAACGCCCATATGGGAATCTTTCCTTAGCAATGTCGTCGATCTTCTTCGACTGCTCCTAGCAAAGCAACATGGTCAACTATCGATGGTCGACTAACTCGCTCTTTGTCTTTCAGCGGCTCGCCTCCATTTTCGAAGTTTTGAAGTCAGTGACGAGACCTTCACTCCGATGCAGTGCCTTCTCTACATGGCAACGTTGATGTCTGTGGCTTGTTCGGTCAGATAGATCGGTTCCAGTCCGACCAAGCTTGAATTCGAGAAGTAAGACCGTTAGAGAAGCAGTCCCATCCATTCTGCAAAAAAAACGTCTTAAAAAAGCTCTATGAGATTTTGGGAAAAGCGCCATGAGAAAGAGCAATTAATAACATACATAAGGAGCACAACCCGTCGATTGGTCTGCTTGACAGCCGAAAAGACATTTATATGGCGCAAGCACGGATAAGGCAGGAATATCCCTTACAACCTAATAAGCAGAGCGCAAATGAGGTAGGCGAGACTTTCGCCCTGTCCACTTTTCCTTTCCCGGGGGAGAACAAGGACAGCATTTTTACTGTGTAAAGCGAACTTCCTTCAAACGATAGACAAATGCATTTATTACTTATTTCCGCGCTAAGATCAATTCTCTACCGACTCTGAAAGTACGCCAAAGAGAACGTATCGTAATGGTTTGTCGAATGGCATTAGTTTGCCATCCACTTTGAAACTGAGAATTTCTGGAAAACTCAAAATTCGGTGAACAAAGATAAGCACTATGTCCACTATACTGCCAGCGATAAATCTTATGTCTCTTACTTATGAAGCAGTAACTTAGTGTGTCGGTTTGTCGGTTACTTTGTCTACCTGTCCGTGAAGCTTATGATTAGAAAGGTAGTGTTATGGAAAGCCCAGCTCTATTTAAAATTTCGTTCTTACATATAAAGCTCGGTGGGTAGGTTAACGGTAGAATGAGTTCTGCGGAGTGAAGAGGGTAACGGAACTTTTCCCCAATTTCCACGGCCCGCGGCAGTGATTCCGCGGCGACTCTCCGTATCCTTCCATTGGGAATTCAAATCTTTCTCTTCATAACGTGCGATCGCGTGCGGCGAGCGCGATACGCCGTTCGGGGAGAAGATGCCAGTCCCGAGTGAAGCGAGTAATGTGAAGTGAAGTGAGTACTCCAGAACTGTGACTTCGATCCATACTGGCATCGTGCTATTTACTTCTATACAATACTCGGAGGTGATAATGTAGTTGAGGAACCTCCACTTCTTCTTCAACACTGAGCGCTAGAGAGAGGTGTATCAAGAGGTTCGCCTATAATTGCGCTCAGAAACGTTTCTTAGCCGAGAACAACAGTTTTTTGACCTGAACTTCAGGCGCACCGAGGTGGGTGAGTATACTATTCGACCCACACCCCATCTTAGTTTTTTGTAGTAATCATCTGCACTAATCATCTCATCCCAACCCCAACGCTCCTCAACCCCTGAAGCTCAGGTGAAAACCATATTCTTTCGCCTGTAACCATCTCTCACCACAGGTAACCTCTGCACTCAAGTCCTCAGGTCACCGTTGAATGAAAGCGATACCTCCTAACTACCTTAATTAACTACTTTGTAAAATTAAGGATTTAGGCCCGGCGTAAGCCTGGCGACCCGACTGGTTTCGAAAAAAGTGGCTATGCAAATGATTATGATTGAATAAAAAATAAACAAGGTAATAGAGTCCGTTGACAGTTCGAAGAAAAAAAACAGCTTCAGCCCAGCTGCAGTTACCGTATTGGCGACGATCAATTCAGTTCAGGCGGGAATCGCCTGTATTACCTGTCGTCCCGTTGATTATCGATTAGCTCGAGCGGACGCCGTCTTCATTCTTCCATAAATGAGTTATTGAGTCTAGTGGACCATTCTCACTCGAGGAATACTCCGCACAGCTAACCTCCCGGAGTTTTCAGGAAGGTCTAGCCGTCGAGTTGGCGATCGTCTTGATGTTAATTTGACCTCCGAAAAATCGAGTAGGTAAGCGCCTTAACCGTCCAACGGTCATCACAAAATCGCACTGAAGAAAAGTGTAGGTTTATTGGCAGTTTCTGCAAAACAACAAGAAGGTAACAAAGGGATGGAGAGGGATGAAGAGAGGAACAAGAAGGATGAGCTGGCACCTCTTCTTGGTGCACAGTGATAGAGCGATAGGACTGAACAAAATAAAAGTAGTGACATTTATTTCATTACACAGCTGAAACGCTTTCGCGTGTTCCAGTGTCTAGCCGAACATATGACCCGCTCCAGAACATAACCATTCAGTACGCAGCGTTTCATGCTCTATACCAGCGTTTCTCCATTGACGTTTTGAATTAAAGTCAAATACGGCCCGAGTCTTCCTAGGTGCTTTGGATACGTGCACCTAGTAAGTCGAAAAGTCAACGTGATGAATGACCCACTATTGAGCGTAGCAAAAAGAAACTCGCGGCGTGGGGAGCACTTAAGAATATCGAGGGAGTTGGTAAGAAGACAAAGAACATCCTCAGAGACTCGCACCCAACGAAAGCAGGGTGGGCATGCAGTCAACGTCGTTCAATGCGCCTATGTACGTAAGTGCAGATGAGAATCCAGGGTTTCCAGCCCGTCAACGAACGAAAATCACGGATGCTGTCGCTTACGCCAAAGAATCGAAAATCCGATGAACCGGATACCTTATTCGATATCGTGATGACCGTTGGACCCGGGGGGGGGGGTTACTGACTGGATACTTCGGGACGTCAAGCGAACAGTAGGATGGCCGCCAGCTGGACAATCAGATTTCTCCACGAACGCTTCGAAGGAAATGGATTTTATGTTTTGTTTTCCTAGAGCAAGGACGATCCGATAGACCACTATGTCTCGCAACGAGGACGAATGGAGATGTTACTGGTACCCGCTCGAGGAAAGCCATGATTAATGGGACGACAGGTGATGGTGATGATGGTGACAGTATATCGTTACAGAACATATACTAACTAATGGGGCCATTCGGACCTCTGTAGATAACCACCATACGGAGAGGATCATCACTAGTAGTCAAATCACAACACAGAATCTCGTATCCGTTCAGATTCAGCAAAAACCATATTAGAGTAAAAGGATTTACGAAGAAAAAGTGTCATGCCATCCCCTTTCTTATTTTTGCGATCACATCCAATGATTCCGTATTGAGACGAGTGATTATCCAGAAGCGACAAAATATCCACTTCAGGTGGAAACCAGGTTTTTACAAGGGCAACAATGTCATAGTGGTGAAAGTCAAGCAGCGGAAGGAAAGCGTTCCTGTTTATGACCAATGATCGAATATTGGCGAACAAAAAAGAAATACACTTCTACTTATA